CTTTAATTAAACATTTAGAGAACAAACATTACTCTCGCTTGGCGTCCGTTTTGCTCCCCTTGATGTCGTTTCTTCAAGACGTCCGTGCCTCCGCGCTGCCTCTCATTCATCCGGCGGAGGAGAGGAGCCCGCGTCCGAGGATACAATGAAGCAGTGTGTCCTTGTCCGAGACAATGCAGCAAGATGCTACGAAGGGCTACGACACTGTTTCTCACGAGATCAGGGACGTTTTTTTGTTCGATTGCAGAGAGAGACCAGCTAAAGGTTTGTAACATCTGCAACACGAACATCTGCACGTCTTATGTATTCTGGCAGGGAATGACTGGAGGGTTTAAAAAAAAAAAAACCCAACAACCCTAGAGCCACCGGCGCACGGCAGAGCTCGTAAACATCCTGCTGCCATGCACGTAAAACGCTATACATGATGAATAATGATAAAGTCTACCACTGTCTCCACTGCTGTCAAAGGATACATGAATGATGTACATGTTTCCTCATATGATGCCGGTATAAATGATGATTGTGCAAATATGGAGGCTGTGATTGCCATGCAGCACACTGTAATCAATCATCATCTTTCAATCACAGATGTGAGTTGCTCATATAACCATTTTCCAGATTTAATTTTAAGTATTTGAAAGCATCATGCTCTCATCTAGGAATCAGATACTAGTATGCAGAAGTATTCATTAGTTTGTATTCATTCTGGTTCAGTGGTGGGGATGGGGAAATGCTCCTGAATTGAATGCCCCCTCCCCCCTTAATGACTGCTATAGCATTAAATGGGCACCACACACACACACACACAGAGGGGGGTAGTTTTCTTTAATTCCAAATGGAAAATAGTATGTCCAAACTAGAATCAATCAATCACATGGAAATGATAAACAGCGCCTACACAACTTATAACGGTTTTCAGTATTTGCCTATAACAGTTAATTGTTTATACTAACACCCCTGGATGAACAGCAAAGCTTTCAGTGGGAATTTAGCTTTCAGCGTCTCCATGAGATGCTGCTCAAGGCTTTGAAGGCAGCCATTAATGTAATTTGTAGTGAGATGATAAACAGAGTGATGTGTGTTTCTGCTTGAGCAGATAGTCAGATTTGCCAAACGCTCCAGTGATTCTTGAATATGTAAAAGTACTCAGCTCAAGTGCTTCAGCCTGACAGTTTGACGGCTATGGCGTATTAAGCTCAGATAATTGGGTGATATTTACTTACAGAGCACACAATCACTCGGCTTGGAAACTGTGTCTTTTTCGCTTAATGATATGCTTTGTAGAAATTATTCACTCTCTTGACAGGTCCAAATGGTGTGTGTGTGTGTGT